TGCTGAAGAGTACAGACAGCATAGCTGGACCATGGCTGATGGAGGGGGATATGGGTGAAACAGCCACAGGGCCTGGAAGAGGGGGCCTCATTCAACTAATAATGCACACCAGATGCAGAGAGGAAACTCGGAACAATAGCACAATGTGGGATGGCATGAGCTAGACTGCCAAAGATGGTTTACGAGACTGAAATTGACAAGATCCCTAGGAATGATTTTTTTTTTCTGAGATTAAATCAAGGATGGGACTCTTGTTAGCTCAGCAAATAACTTTTCTAGGACATAAAAAATGGCTTGCAACAGACTTTTGGTTCACAAGTTTTTACTGCATTTATGATGTAGCAGTAACAAATCAGTGGTAAAGAACACACCTGCAGATGCAGGAGATACAGGTTTGATCCCTGGGTTAGGAAGATCCCCTGGAGAAGGAGATGGCAACACGCTCCAGTATTCTTGCCTGGGAAATCCCATGGAGGGAAGAACCTGGTAGGCTATAGTCCATGGGGTCACAAAGAGTCAGACATGACTGAGCGACTAACAAAGATTTGGTTGGGGCTTCCCGGGTGGCACTGGTGGTAAAGAATCCAGCACAGAAATGCAAGAGACAGTGGCTCAGTCCTTGAGTCAGGAAGATCCCCTGGGGTAGGAAGTGGGCAACCCACTCCAGTATTCTTGTCTGAATTCCATGGACAGAGGAGCCTGGCGGGCTGGAGTCCATGGGGCTGCCAAGAGTTGGACACGGCTGAGCGACTGAGCACTCACAGAGATTTGGTTAGGGGCGTTACCTTCTCAGACCATCTGACTCTGCCACTGTCGGAGGAAATCAACAGCATCTTCAGAGGTGTGACTGAGCAGTGGAGGCTCAGGCAGTTTCGATGAGGAAGTGACTGGCTCTGGATTGAATTATTTCCCTATATGATATTAAAGCTGCCCTCCAAACCACGTTTAGGTTGGCATTTCTCACCTCCTGTCTGCAAATTCTGCTTCACAGCCCTGATAAAGTCAGACAGAAGAAGTCTTGGTACTATGAGGACTGCACACTTTATATGAACTCAGTTTAGGAAACTTTTTTCCTAATTAGGTTGAACCTGCTTTGTCATCTGATTATCATCAAGTTAGGAACCATATACCCAGGCCACAGCCTTTTTGGTTCTTAGAAATGTCTATAGCTGGCACTAAAGTAGAAGATGAACAAATACGTGTTGAATGAATGAATAAATGAATGAATGAATGATTGAGTTGTTGAGTGGAAAGAGAAGCATGTTTGAATCAGTCAGAGGACGGTGTGAATCCTAGTTTTGCAACTTATTACTGGCTTTTCACCATGAAAAGGGAAGCAACCCAGAGAAAGAGGCTCCATTAATTCATTTCCTATTGTTGCTACAAAAAATTACCATCAAGTTCCTGGCTAAAAACAAATAAAACCAATTTATTCTGCCAGAGTTTTATCTTGTAATAGGATATATAACAATGCAGTCTGTATTATATTATATACAGAGGTGTTAGATTGCAGTTCTGGAGATCAGAAATGCAAAATGGGTTGCCCGAGGCTAAAATCAAGGTTTCAGCAGGGTTGTGTTCCTTCTGGAAGCTCCAGGGGAGTCCCTTTCTCTGTCTCTTTCAGCATTGAGGGGCTGCCCACATCCCTTGGCTTATGGTCTCTCCCTCCATCCTTGAGGCCAGCAGTGTAACATCTCTGAATCTCCTTCTGACTCTTTTTATCAGACCCACCTGGATAATCCAGAAGGGTCTCTCCATCTTGGGGTCCTTTCCTTAATCCCATCTGCACAATCCCTTTTGCTGTATAAGGGATTATGACGTGGATGTCTGGGGTGGGGTGGGGGGAGTCAGGGATGGAGAGAGAATCACCCTGCCTATCACAGCTGTGCTGTGCACTAAGTCACTTCAGTCAAGTCCGACTCTTTGCGACCCTATGGCCCACAGCCCACCAAGCTCCTCTGTCCATGGGATTCTCCAGGCAAGAACACTGGAGTGAGTTGTCATGCCCTCCTCCAGGGCATCTTCCCAACCTATGGATCAAACCCGTGTCTCTTGTCTGCTGCATGGGCAGGCAGGTTCTTTATCACTGGTGCCACCTGGGAAGCTCCCATGCCACATACCACCCATCAAATCTTGATTAGGAAAAATGCTATTTAGAGACCCATGCACCTGAGAGCTGGGCAGCCCAACCCCACCCTTCAAGTGTCCACAGGTTTAGCCAGACCACATCCTTTTGGCCCCACGCTATTCACTTTCACTAAACTTTGCTTTACTTTAGTGCTATTAGACTATGTAACAAGCACATCATAAGAAACAGCATCACAGAAGAAGTTGCATTTATTGTAACTGTTTTGGAGTGGATGTATATTACATGTCAGCATACATTTCTTATGAGAAATGACAGATAATTATCCCTGGTCTTAAAATCCAGCACTGGGATTTCCCTGGTGGCTCGGTGGTTAAGACTCTGGGCTTTCACTGCAGGGGTAGGGGTTTGATACCTGGTGGAGGAACTGAGATCCCACAACCTGCATGGCCTGGCCAAAAACAAAGTAACTAACAAACAACACCCCAGTACTGGCTATGGTTTCCCTAGTGACTGGTTTATTTCCATCAAATGAACACTAGTGCACATGGCTGATCATTTTTCTCCCTTTGCACAACCCACTATTAGGAAGCCAAGAAACTCAACAAAGCTACAAGACATCAAAGCCTGCATTATATGCAGCATTAGTTACCCACCCTCGTTGTCCCTTTTCCCCAGTTCCTTCCTGTTTCACATTTTATTTCTTCTAGGTCTTTATGAAACATTTCTTGTACCTTCTCTATCTTTGTCTCCAGGCTATTTATCTGTAACTCCATTTTGTTTTCAAGATTTTGGATCATTTTTATTATCATTATTCTAAATTCTTTTTCAGGTAGATTCCCTATTTCCTCCTCTTTTGTTTGACTTGGTGGGCTTTTTTCATGTTCCTTTAGCTGTTGGGTATTTCTCTGCCTTTTCATC